TTTATATCTATAAGACTCATCTATTCCAGAAACTAGTGTATTTTATATCTATAAGACTCATCTATTCCAGAAACTAGTGTATTTTATATCTATAAGACTCATCTATCCCAGAAACTAGTGTATTTTATATCTATAAGACTCATCTATGCCAGAAACTAGTGTATTTTATATCTATAAGACTCATCTATCCCAGAAACTAGTGTATTTTATATCTATAAGACTCATCTATTCCAGAAACTAGTGTATTTTATATCTATAAACTACTTTATGGCATAGATGAGTCTTATAGATATAAAATACACTAGTTTATGGCATAGATGAGTCTTATAGATATAAAATACACTAGTTTCTGGAATAGATGAGTCTTATAGATATAAAATACACTAGTTTCTGGGATAGATGAGTTTATAGATATAAAATACACTACTTTATGGCATAGATGAGTTTTATAGATATAAAATACACTACTTTATGACATAGATGAGTCTTATAGATATAAAATACACTAGTTTCTGGGATAGATGAGTAGATGAGTCTTATAGATATAAAATACACTAGTTTCTGGAATAGATGAGTCTTATAGATATAAAATACACTAGTTTCTGGGATAGATGAGTTTATAGATATAAAATACACTACTTTATGACATAGAAGAGTTTTATAGATATAAAATACACTACTTTATGGCATAGATGAGTCTTATAGATATAAAATACAATCCCAGAAACTAGTGTATTTTATATCTATAAGACTGTCTATAATGGCATTATATTGTCCATATCGTGAACTTGACATGAAGCAAACTTACGGGTGTTAAACGTGTCGCCCTTTGCTTTTCTGCAATACGTAATGTATTATCACATGTAAATCGGTTGTATAAAGTACGATTAACCCCATCTATTTGAGACTAATCCTATATAAAGTACGATTAACTCTATCTATTTGAGACTAATACTATATAAAGTACGATTAACTCTATCTATTTGAGACTAATACTATATAAAGTACGATTAACTCTATCTATTTTAGACTAATCCTATATAAAGTACGATTAACTCTATCTATTTGAGACTAATCCTATATAAAGTACGATTAACTCTATCTATTTGAGACTAATACTATATAAAGTACGATTAACTCTATCTATTTGAGACTAATCCTATGCTTATGTTTTCTCTAGATAATCTTAATTTCAGGGCTTATTATCAAAAATGGCATGCTTTATTTTCAAATGTGGTGATTTGTTTTTCTTATTTTCATGTCTTATAGCATTTCGACCTCTGACCTATCAAATAAAGAATGCCGGTCGTGTATAAAGCCCTGTGGATAACAGTTTGGGGTATTTTAGGACTAGCACTTGCAATGTCCCACGATGTCGCTTTTGCTGAAAACAAGGGTAAGAAATGGTTGTCTGGCGTAATCGTTATCATAATTATTTATGTTTTCGTTAGATTATATTTACGCTTAATGTCATAAAAATACTTACTGGTCATTATTATAATGGTGTAACACTGAAACTGGCGAAGACAATATGTGTATATTAATACAGATAGATATAGCTTTATACAGATGGTTAGGAACAGTGAAATGTTTTGTTTCTAAGCCAAAAGATGATGATGATGCTATTACGTTTATGTCTCTTCTCAACATTAAAGAATTAGTGCTTAATGTACAACATAAAATATGGCCGTTTACTCAAGCACCGGCGTAAAAAATATTTGCGTCAATTAACCAAATGTTATCACATATCGTAAAAGCCATGAATACAAACGACTACCTAAATCACCCTTCGACAAATCCTCATTCTGAACAGAAACCCGCGGAATACGTTGAAAAGCTTACTTGATATACATAATAAACCATAATCTATATCAAAAAAAGATATTTTTCCTGAAAGCTACAAGTGCATGTGAAATTTTATGTCACAGATAAAACCTCGAACGGCTATTTCCTAGGAATAGTTTATTCGCCAGACTAATAAAGAGGATTAAACTTAAACTCTGCATGAAGAAAGAAAAATAGGAAAAATATTTCGAAAAGGAACAAAATATTTATCTTGGCCTGGTCGATATTCAACTATTCATTGTTGAAATGATACTCTGATATTTACTATTTTTCGTGTTATATATTTGTTACATATCTTTAACATGGCCAATGATTAGGAGTTAAGATCAGGATAAAGTAGGTGTTAAAACACTCAATTATTTGTTGTGGGAAACAATGGTATAATATAAAATGATGATTTTGAATTAAGATGTATTTCCTGTTTTACACATGAGTGCTTCTTCTTCAAAAGCTTATGTACCCCTTTTTCTTAGCCAGCAAGATGTTCAGGGGGGTCTTTTAACAATATTCTGATTATTTTACACACGTCTTATTACAGTTCAATACCAGTTGGCTAGGGTGCTCGACTCGCAATCTGAAGTCGCGGGTTCGACTCTCCGTTCCAACAAAAATGCTCGCCTTTTCAGCCATGGGGGCGTTATTATGTGACGGTAAATCCCACTATTCGTTGGTAAAAGAATAGCCCAAGAGTTGGCCCAAGGTGGTGATGACTAGCTGCCTTCCCTCTAGTCTTACACTGCTAAATTAAGGACGGATAGCGCACATAGCCATCGTATAGCTTTGCGCGAAATTCTGCGCAAAGAAATCACAGTTCAGGGGGTCTTTTGACATCATTCTGTTTATTTTACACACGTCTTATCATATTGCTTTAACATCCTAAAATTTAACATCATCGGATTAAATGTGTGTCATTTTTGCACTTCTAACTTGTAAATAGGATAGCATATGTTTGCGATTTCTCGTTATTTTGAAGATAATGATAAACAGTTGATTCCAGTGAATTTATTAAACATCTAATGACTGTCATAGCAGCATAGAATGTTGCACTAATTTAGTTTCAAACTTGTTATTACTATAGCAAATTCTATATTATCTAAGTTGACCAAGATTCGCCCTGCCTGAAACTGCATTTTCTGTCATAAATATTACTATAACAGCAGTTGTAGCATGTAAGCGATAGCTGTAACACCATTGCCTGACTAGTACAATTATCTATATCACAAATGTAACTGAAATGATTCTAGCAACTGCCGTGGGAACCAGTAGTTATTCTGCAGTTACAAACGTTTCTCATTACCATTTTTAAGACATTAGTACTGGTTTGGTGAACAATAAAGCTACATGAATACGTGTTTATGGGAATTATAACAAGTTACTGTAATCTAGTATCAGAACACGTGTTCGACACATGCGTTCCAAATACAACATTTATTTTATGCCTTCATATTTACGTTTACATTTACACAACTGACCTTTGTATTGTGAATAAAAGCAACGAAACACATATAGAGGTGTATTTTTATAGCTTACGTCGTAAGATGTATAAGAATATGAATTGGTTAATGAATTATCTACAAAAACAGGTTTGTTGTATATGAGCTTTAAGAACATATTATTTCAGTATTATGTGCTTCGGTAAAATTCTATGTTCTGCTACGAAGTTCAAAATAATTAGATTTTCATTATACTTCTCGAGCAAATCAACGAATTTATCATATCAGTTTTATTGAGCTAAAATGTCAAAATAGATTTGGTAAACAGGGTTTTTGACAATAAGGTATAGTGGTTACAATTTTCATGAAACACGGGGGTACGGGTGTCCTGGTGGTCCTGAACCATAACATAATCTTTTTTGATTTAGTGATTACTGGCATGCACAAACACATACACGTATATATGTGTGGGGGGGGAGGTATGAAACGACAAAGTATTTTTTCGTACTTCTTTACTGCTTTTCTTCAACACAAACTGATGATACACAAAAAACTAAACACTTAGAGATTCAAGTTATTGACAATAAAGTAATTTGGGATGAAAGACAAATTCTCGATGGAGAATAAACTTTGTTAGCCTTTCAACAAAATCTGAATTTAAATAATTTATACACATATTAAGTTTCTTATGTTACACCGTTTCACTTAAGTTATCAGAAATCAAGGATGCTCCAATTTTAAAACTCATACTAGGTAATTTAATGTATCAGATCAATTCAACTGATCATCATAAGAAAGACACAATTTGTAGGCACACATTGATCACCAATTAAACCCAAGTTGTTAAGATCAAATGCCAGTTAAAATATTGTCCTTTATTATAAAAGCTAAAGTGTTGGTTCTTAGTAAGGCAGATGTCTTGAACATAATCTCGTAAATTAAAGGAGTAATGACTCTGATTTTACTTGAATGATTTCATAAAAAAGTGACTGTTGTACCAACTCAATATTAGGAAAATAATAAAACGAAAGAGTCAAATATTATTCGAAGATCCAAATGTGTACTGTTGCAACTGTCTTGCTAGTTTGGATATACGTGTGTTAATCTGCTGTGAGTTTTTCTATTCTTATTACCAGCAGCTTTAGGGCTGAACAATTACATACATTTTCAATAATTTACATACACTGAGTGGCCATTTTATTAGCACCCCTCATCTCCCATTTGTATGCATGAAATAGACTGATCATGTAATGAACCAGGTGATTACTTGAAGTATAAGAATGGAGGAGTTCATATCGTGGGGGTGACAGTCGATATCTGCCTATAAAGATCATCTTATTAATAGACTGACCATGTAATGAACCAGGTGATTACTTGAAGTATAAGGATGGAGGAGTTCATATCGTGGGGGTGACAGTAGCTATCTGCCTATAAAAATCATCTTATTGATAGACTGACCATGTAATGAACCAGGTGATTACTTGAAGTATAAGGATGGAGGAGTTCATATCGTGGGGGTGACAGTAGATATCTGCCTATAAAGATCATCTTATTAATAGACTGACCATGTAATGAACCAGGTGATCACTTGAAGTATAAGGACGGAGAAGTTCATATCGTGGGGGTGACAGTAGATATCTGCCTATAAAGATCATCTTATTAATAGACTGGTCATGTAATGAACCAGGTGATTACTTGAAGTATAAGGACGGAGAAGTTCATATCGTGGGGGTGACAGTAGCTATCTGCCTATAAAGATCATCTTATTAATAGACTGGTCATGTAATGAACCAGGTGATTACTTGAAGCCTATAACGACGGAGAAGTTCATATCGTGGGGGTGATAGTAGATATCTGCCTATAAAGATCCTCTTTAATAGGCTGATTATGTAATAAACCAGGTTATTACGTGAAGCCTATAACGGTGAAGAAGTTCATATAGTGGGGGTGATAGTAGATATCTGCCTATAAAGATCGTTTTATTAAAGACCGTTTCTTTGAACAACTGTTTAACTTCATCTTGGCATAGTAATTTATAAACAATGACAATCGAAAAGATATATGTCTGTCACTACGAAAATCTAACCGTTGGTAACTGATCAACAATAAAAACTATAGACAAGCTTTGTAAAGCGTCAGTTGTTGTACTTGTTCCCAACTAACTGATTCCTTCAACAATAGTCTTAATGCCGACGGTCTCTAAGTGTATCATAGTAGCTGACAACTAGTTATGCAAACATGACCTCATGATGATTAGAACATAAACTGTGAATAGTAAATGACTGGGAGCATGTATAATGAAAGACATTTCACCCATTGTTTTTTATACAGATGGTAAAATAAAAGTCTGAGGAAACCACGCGATGCATTTAACTTTGCTTCTGTTGTTTCAACAGTACAAAATGATAGAGGTGGTTTAATGGTGTGGGATCGTTTTGTGGGTGATGCTAGATCTTTTAATCTCTTTAGAAGGTCGAATAATATCCATATTGTGTGTAAACGTGTTACTGATAATAGCCACCCCAAAGTTGTGTAAGTCCATTCGTAACTGTAACCTTCTAGCGAAACATTTAAACTATATGCAAACCATACAACATAACAAATGTATTACAATCTAACAATATTTATTTTTCAACAATTTTTGAAATTTATACTATTATCGCAGCGAATTCCGAGTGATCCAACCAGTATTAGTTGGGAGCACCCTAATAAAATGACCAGTCAGTGTATAACTACAGTCACTTATATAATATAATATAGGTTTAATTATTGTGTTGTTTAGTGTGATATGTTGTCTAGATATCTATCTTACTATATAGCTGACGTACCTGATGAATACCCCGAGATCGACACTTTTGATGATATGAATGGTGGTTACCAAAAACATTTCTCGGAGTTCTTAGGAGTGCCTAACAAGAAGTATTCAGAAATTTCGAGTGATTCGAGTAACTTGTTGGCTGGTTTAAATAATGAAGAAAGAATGAAACGTTTTTCAGAATTCCTTGGGGGACCTGGAAAACGTTTTTCACATATATATGAAGACCCTGAAAAGCGATTTTCGGAGTTTCTAGGCGGACCAGGTAAAAGATTTTCGGAGTTTCTTGGTGGACCAGGTAAAAGATTTTCCGAGTTTCTTGGCGGACCAGGTAAAAGATTTTCCGAGTTTCTTGGCGGACCAGGTAAAAGATTTTCCGAGTTTCTTGGTGGACCAGGTAAAAGATTTTCCGAGTTTCTTGGTGGACCTGGAAAACGCAGTATTCCATTTCCTTATGAAATACATCCTCAACATGTCCACAGTGTCACCAAGAAATTGTCAGAATTCCTAGGAGGACCAGGAAAATAACTGTTTTGGATTTACTCAAGTACTCTACATCACATCTTTCTGAGTTTTAGGAAGCCTTTGACAGTTACGAGAAGTATTATAACATATAAATCTAGAATAACAATACGATTACAATGCGATAATATCATGTATACGTATATCATTGAACAAAATGCATTAGTACAAAATTGAAGAAAATTTTTAAAAGCAGCATTGACACCCCTGTTGTAAATTTTAAACTCTATGTTATAGCTATAGCTTACATTTAAATTATTTCGAACACAAATAATATTGTAGAAACTTCATAATATTGAAATTTGTAAAACATATTTCATTTTTTGCCGATGTACGATTTTTGATTTATAATAAACTTCAGATTGTAAAACATATTCGACTTCTTGATTTAATGTGTCTTCTTTTTTTTATGTCTTCCCCTTTTAGATAATAATATAACAAGAACTCTTCTGTATAGCATGTTTAGATAGATTCGACATGATTAGAGATTTAATACTAACTACTAGCTTTAGACGTTTTCGTCTTCAGTGATATTTGATTTTCAATATATATTTAAATAAATCTAAAAATCAAATGGTAATGAAATCAATGCCAAATTAATCATGGTTCCAGGAAAATTAGTAGCTAATAATTAATATAAGAAAACGTTCAGTTAATTCAAGAAAATCTCCAGCCTTGAAGCTGGCATGCGACACAGAACACATGTAAAGTTTGGATAACACGTAGAGGCCTACTGATTACCAGTTCTTGAGGAGAGGTCTCGAAATAACACATGAAAAACTATAGACACAGATAGATAAGCGAATGGACATAAATGTGGTCTCTTCACTCTATTGTTAATAGGCTAAAAATAATATTCTGGAAATTTATAACGTTAAAAATTGGGTTTCGATACCCGTGGTGAGTACAGAACCGATAGCCCATTATGTAGCCTTGTGCTTAACAACAACGAGAAAAAACAACAAACAGGCAAAGTACTCATATGAAAATGCTTGTTTAGACGGATACAAAGTTGAACGGCCCGGCATGGCCAGGTGGTTAAGGCGCTCGACTGGCAATCTGAGGGTCGCCCTTTCAGCCGTGGGGGCG